TTACTATAATTGTAATATTTTTCGTATTTACTAAAAAAGACGTTAAAACATCATATGAATTTAATTATAAACATTTTTAAGTGCTTTAACAATTTATCTTTTAGCTATTATTCAAGCCTTATTATGGATTTGATAAAAAATATAGAATACCTATTTGTCATATTCATTGCATTTTACTGTTTTTTAATTTTTTTTTTTTTTTGTTTAATATTTAAAAAGCGTAGTTTTGCTTGACTGGATATTTTTTCTGTGAGATTCCAGATAATGGAATGTTACTTGATTTCTATGGTAATGATAACAAAGGTTTTTTTTTTTAAATATCTCATACTTATATTTTTAGAATTTTTAATTCCAATAATTCACGAGTATTGAGTTTTTTTTTTACGATAACTTCCCTTAAATTGACGCGGGTCGACGTTTTGTCAATCAGAACTTATTGGAAAACCAACATGGAAGGAGTTAAACCTGTAATCTCTACCGTGAAAACGAATTCTCAGTATACATATAAAATGAAATATGCTATTATAAATATAATTGCTGTTCTCTGAATATAAGCTTTACTAGTTTCCTGCTCTCTATATAGAAAAATTAAATCAAAATATCTTAAGCCCGCCCGCGTCAAATGTGTGTATATCTATGTTCTCTTTTTTTCGCTGTATTTTTAGTTTTTAACTACCCAATATTTATACCCATACTGACGTTTTATTTACTCAGTATTTTTAATTTGTTCTAAAGGGACAGTAGTCTCAGGATGATACAATTATTTTCATTTCATTTAATCTCGTTACTATTTAATTATTTAACGTTTGACGGAGTTTGTAACACTTTTCGCTCTAGAGAAGCTTCTTCTAAGAAAAGTTTTACTTCATATAAAGTTCTCACCGCCCAAAATAATTAAAACGGAATGACGTTCATGTCTAATATTATCGTTTCTACCCTATTTAATGACTGATACATTTTGAAATAGATGTAGAATACATAAAAAAGAAAGAGACAGTAGAGATACATTGGTATCTATCCATTATGGTGGATGCGGGGACTGCCTAGGTACCGGACCGAGGGAGCGAACAATTCTCTACCCCTAATGGGCCGTATTGTGTGCGGGTGTTGTGTTCGCACGGCGGCTTGAAAGGTACCGCCACTTTTCAAGTACTCTCCAGAGGTACTAAGAGCTCTTCCATTGTGCTCTGCGGCTGAGAGATAGCAATCATCTGCTATAGGAGCTGCGTCAACTTTTCTGCCTTCCAGTTTTACGCATGATGGACTTTTTCACCTTTTTTCCAAAAGGTTCTTGTGATTTTTCACTCGCGGTTTCGAAAGAGGTTTTCTTTCATCTTTTTTCCTCTCTTTTGTGTGTAGTACAATGTGTGTTCATTGCCGTGAGAGTGGTGGTTATTCAGTAGGAACATCGCCCATTAAATCATATATACATTTTTTTAAACATTTAAATTATTTAAAAGCATCTTTTAAAATATTTCGCTCAACGCGGTCAAACAAATCCACCACCAAACGACAAAATAACAAGACAAGCAACCACCTAAAACTTTTCTTCTCTCTTGACAAATTTAGCATATACTTGATAAATACTAAAATCCTTGGTTTATTTTGTATAAATGCAGAAAATACTAACCGAATTTACGAATAAAAATGTTTATTTTTACATTCCGCGTCTACCCGATGGGGTCATTGCGGTACTACATGAACTTAAATTAGATTACTCTTCTTATATTCTCTTCATCATCTTCAAGCGCTTCAGATATGGTGGAAGGTATCTTATGATTTGTTCTAGTGTCAGAGTATAGTCCGCAAGTTGTTAAAGTGTCTTTCAGTTTCAGTATTGCATTTTTCACAAATCAGTGGTTTCAGGCGTCTAATAGGTAATCGTGGATTTAACTAAAAATGTAAAAACAAAAACAAATAAAATTTAAGTTCACCATTAAAATAATAAATTTATTTATTTATTTTTATTTATATTTACAACTGTATTAAGAAAGAATGCATTAAGTAAATGTGATAACAGAAAATAAAAACATGAATACACTTATTGAGAAACTACCCATTGGTTGCACTCTAAAAAAAAATTATTTACATCAGAAGATCTCGAGGGTATCATCTTTTCATCCAAGGATTTTGGATTGGATGCGCGAAGAATTCGATGGCTTTGTGGATCCCCAAATCTCAACTGCGTATGTCCAGATAGATCTTATTGTAGTCATGTATATGAATCTTTTGTAATTAACTGGAAGCTTAGAGCGTTGGTCTAGTAAGTGGAGTAGTCGGAAATTCGAGCGGTTTCTTGTCGTTTTAAGTCTGGTATTAGGATTCCAAGTTAGACCTTTGTCCAAGTGGAGTCCAAGGTACCGGATTTGTGCAACAGGGATAAGCGGGGTATTATTAAAGAATACTGTAGGACAGGAAGTCATAGGTTTACAACAAAATAATAAATTTAAAAAAACAAATATGAAAAGAAACGTGAAATTATAGTGATTAAAAACAGGAAACAAATAATAATGTACAGATATATTTAGGAGCTGGGATGATAGGAAGTGATTGAACAGGTGGGATTTAAAGGTGGAGAGGTTATTAGAGATTTGGTGGGACTCGTAGTGGGCGGAGAGGGTTTAGATATTGTGGTTTAGATATTACTTTGTTAAATTTAATTACGAATTAAAAGCGTTGTACGTGCTTGATGTCTTTATTATCTTTTTATTAAATACTAATTAATAATATCCTAATCAATAAAGGACTAAGTTAATACGAAGGTTCGATGTCCTTCAAATCCCGTCTTCATTCTCACCAACACCATCAAAATCCGAATCCGCAATATAAGCCTTAAGGTTACGTTATAATCTACTCCTCGGAGTTTAATCAATCAGATTAGATTTAACATAATAAGATTATTTTAAAAAATAGTACAGACAGTGTTCCTCCTTCTTTTGCTCTGATTTTTGAATTCCTCGTAATTCTTTTTCCGCTTGTGTTCCAACGGTTGATGTGGGTCTCGTCATCGATGACACTGACATGGAAGATACATCCTGTCCCAGAATATACAAAAAGTATTCCTCCGCTTCTCCGATCGGAGAGAAGGAAATTCGGAATCCCGCTAATCCTGTTAGGTGCACACCGGTGCAAGGCTGCGTTGGAGGGCAGCCTAGCGTGTAATTGGTGGGGCTCCCATCTGCCAGTATTGTGTACCTTTTATTTAAATACATCCCCCACTCCCACGAATTCCCTAATCCCGGTTGGAGGATCTATTGATACAGGGCCTAGCCTGGAGGCCACAAAGGCGCGGTACGGTTTTTGCATTCCCTTAGGAAACCTCCTAGACAAAGATAGCTCCAAGGAGCAGAGAGGTACCCCCTGGGGCTGCTAAAGAACTCACCCGCCCAATGGTGACATTGATTTTTTATTTATCCCGAAATTGTTGGAGAGTAAATAGTCGATTGTCTACTGAATGGAACGGACCACCTGAGATGCACTTTAGGATTGTTGTATGGTTTATTGTACAAATATATTTCATCATTAGATCACTGGAGCAAAACATATCCCTTACCATACACAGGCCTAAAATGTATTCATCAAACCCATCCGGATAATATGAATACATAGTGAAATAGATTGGTCCGTCAGATGTAACGCTTGGGTAAAATCGGTTGGAGTCGACTAATTGAATTGTTTTTGCATATCTCTAAAAATAAAAATCGGACCTGCATATTGTTAGCGAGAGAAATATTCATCATTTCATCCTCTCTGAAATTTGCTATTATTCAAAATTGTATTTAACGCGACACCGTGTTAGGGAGGCGAAAAGGAAAAAAATAGTGTCGAAAACTTAATGATAACCAGTTTTTTGGATGATATGGATTAAAATATCTCAGAAACTAAAATTCGAACCTGCATCCTGTAGGAGAAGGAAATGTTCAGCTATTATTTATAATTTATGTTTCGTATTATTAATCTCGCCTAATAGATGTTTTTACGTATAGTGTAGTCTAAAGCACAATACTTAATTTTTGTTTTCGATTTTTATGATAAAAGATATGTACGTTTCGTATAGTTCATTATATTTCATTACGAGTAATAAAAACCAAAAATGTGAACAGAATTAAGAATAATCTTCGTATTAAAACATTTATTTTCTATAAACTCTAAGGGTGGAGTGCTCTAATTATTTATTAGTCGTTACTCTGTTAGTAATAAAATACACTAATTAATTTTTTTTAAACATTATTCACAACGATAAAAATTATCAATTTCTTTTCCCTAATAGGCAGCTTACAAGCTTGCTGTTTTAAAAAACTAAATTCAATTAATTAATTAAAAGAAAGGAATACATGCATTTTTTCTATTTAAAAAAATGTTATAAGTAGTAAGTTCAATCCATTTGATTATGAGAATTTATTATTCGTTGTTAAACTATGCAAAAGAAAAGCATACATAGTTCAATTTTCCATTTATTTATACACTTTTAATATCTAACAAATCATGAAGTTAATATTATATTTCATTTTACAAACTACAAAATAGCAATACTATAATTTAAAATACCTTAAATGTGAATAGGTTTATATAATCATTTAATATTGCTTGTTTCAAATTATGGTTAATTTTGTCTTCTGAATTCGTTCAAATTTTTAGTTTTTTTTTTTTTAATGATACTAAAGCAAATTATTACGTCTTAAAAATTGTGAAGTTGGTTTAAACATAATTATAATTGTAGTAAACATAAGTGATTTGAGGCTTTCGATTTGAAAGAGATAAAAAATAATTAAATATGTTATCTTTTCGAAAAAGTTTTTAGTAATTAATATGATTAGTACAGTTTAGTATTTTACTCCCGAATGTCTTGTTCATTTTCGAAAGACGATTGTGAACATTTATATAGAAATTTTACTTTGCAGATATGATACAATGCTTGTTTATTATTTTTTTTATGTTTATATATATATTTTGTAATAATATTAATTTGATCAAAATATTAAACTATTTATTGTTTTCAGATTGGGCGGGGGGATGGCCAGCAGTTATCTCAAGGGTACAGGGATGCAGCCAATGCACCACCAGTATCATCATGGCCACGTTCCAACTCTAACTACGCATTTCGGCCTCACCCATCATCTAGACTCGCCCTTACCCTACCCACAAGGTAAATATCTAATATACATTATAATATAATATATATAATATATTAATGAGTATAATATAATAAGTAGATAAATAGATAGATATAAAGCTTTGTTTCATATAAAATTTACATTTTCATCTTTAAAAATAAAAATATAATATTATATATATTATTATTATTATGATATTATAGTATATTATCATATATCTTATCTAGTATAATATCTAAATATCTTTATATAGTATATAAAAAAATATATATTTTTCCTATAATTTCTATAGAACAAATACTTGAGGAGTTTCTTATCTCTGATTAAAAATTATTAGAACTCTGTTCGTGTGAAAATTAGCGAGTTAATAATTTATACGATCAATACATTTTTCGAACTCTTAAGCTCTCTTTTAGTCAGTTTCATTTTTAAATAACAAAGTATATATCGTTATGTTGTAATCACATGAAACATCAATTATATTTTAATTACTTTATCTATATTAATCGGTCCGTTTTTTATTGTTTTTCTATGTTTCAATTTACATTAAGTAGTATTGTTTTCCATTTACTTAATTATTGATAGTAAATCTTTCATCGTGTCTAGAAAATCCGAAGTAATTTAGAAATAGTACTCTTACGAACATTTTATTATCTATTCCTTCACAATTATACACAATAAATAATAAATAAATAAAATAAAATAAATTGTTTTTAAATTAATATTTCCATCAAATCTGCTGATTGTCACTCTCACGGCAAGTGCAGATGAAAGCATGAAGAGAAAAAATACATAATGAATGATTTTTTTTTTTAATTAACGAATACATTTTTTATTTGTTGTTTTATTTTATTTATTTCGAAAAAATATTTACCAGTGTTTTGGTCTATCTCTATATATTCTGAAAATAATTTAAACCGCAAAATTCTATTTTCCTGATTCATGGATCGGACGTAACGTTTCCTCTCATCTACTTATAAATTCACTTGTCGACTAATATTTCTTGAGATCGTGAAGCTAATAATAGCAAGGATCATATCAACATTCAAGAAGTAAAAATTCCATTTTAAAATTCTTTGATATGTCAAGACAAATCATGATTAATAACCCATTAAGAGGTTGCAACATAATAAATTTGTATAAAAGCTATCTATAAAACAAGTCCTGTTCCAATAACGTTGAACAAAGCGCTAATTTATTACTATGTATGACAAATTACACTATTATAACATAGGTAGTTTCTTCGACCTTACGTTTCCTATCCTATTTCGTATAAAAAACATGGTTTCCACGAGTTTTTATCGGACTATTTATAAGATATATTATGAGATTTATAAAATTATTTATATCAAATAATTTTGTTTTCATGTATTTCATAGTGATTTTTTTTTTCTCGACACATTTATAAAATTATTTATTTTGGTTATGTCTTTATTTAATTATATGAGATAATTTATGTAATCATTATTGTATTTTTTTTTTTATATAACGGGGGAATCGGAAAAGACCAATGTTTTAGCCAAATTGGTGATGACGACTGACAATTAAAAAAAAAAATACTTTCTTATGCCTCAAGAGACCTGAGACCTTAATGCTTGTATGTTCATCGAGATAAAAAAAGTAGTACTTCCTCTTTACCTTGTATATATATATATATATATATATATATATATATATATATATATATATATATATATATATAGTTATTATTGACATTACAACTGTATTAAATGATAAAGACAACAAGTAAATACCATATATAATGTAGTTAAAACAGTGGCTAATACAGAAGTATGTTGTGTGTATAATTCGATTGAATTATCGATACTACCAGGCAATGCTAAACCTATAATCCGATAAATTAACGTAATCCGTTTATAAAAGCACCAAGATGAGATTTTATCAGTAAATGAGTTTAGTTTCCCCCGAAAACCTTTGAACTCAAAACTAAGTTAACAGAGTTCGCTGTTCCTCTCTTTTCCGCCAGTAGTTAGGTTGACTTCTATCTATTCACTTCGTGTCTTCCATCTATAAGGTCAGTAATTGTAGTTTTTTATATATGTTTATGAAAATTACATCATATTTTAGTTTCTGTACGATTTAAAAAAAAAAAATTTATGAGTGAGAATTTTAAATACATTCCAATATTTACCATCATAGTTATGAAAAATGTTGAAAATTATTTTTAAAAAGTGGAAAATTATATGCTTTAGTGAATATATTAATCTGTTAATTTTAATTATATTCTATTAAAATCCATAAGTCGTAATGCATAAATCCATAATTAATAGAAATACTACCGTTATAATCATCAAAATATTAATGAGTCTATTAATTTAAAAAATATACTAAAAAAATTACTTCTAGGGTAGAAATCCACAATTTAAAATTTGAATTTAATTATAATTTTTTTATTCATTTATCTGCCTGTTGTATCGATAACTACTCGGTTAACATCAGGTAAATTTATTTATTTTCTAAACCAGTTAATAAAACATGTCTGATTCAACTTCGTTTATTAATAAATAAAAATATTTAAAAAATGTTAAGATGCTGTATGGCTCAATTCATAGAAAATTTATACTTAAGAATTTCATAGCCCTCAAATTATATTTTTTTACTCAATTTAAACGATTTAGGACCTAAGGGTGTAACCTAGATATAACTACCTTAATTACTTTAAGGCTAATTTAATTAAACTTAATTAATTAGGAATAATCCCATGCTGTTCTTATAAAGTAAGGAAAGAAATAAGGTTGTTCGGCAATGGATTAAATTATGATTTTTACAATAATATATTTAATTGTTGACCTAAAAACTATTGACTTTAATTTATGTTTGTTAAGCAAACATGTAATCGGAAATGCATGATTCTATTTAAATAAATTAAATTTTATAGTACATAGGATTTTTTTTTAATATCCTAATTTATTAGGATATTTATAGTAATACATTACTGGTGTATAAAAATTAATATTATTTTTAATTTTATTATTAATATTTCACTATCAATTAAGCGGATAGTTAGGTTTTACTGATGGAGTTTCACAATTTTGTGTACATTGTTTGTTTGTAAGGCTTTGTTCCTGGAAGATCGTTATTAAATTGTATAGTTCCTCGATCTATATCCGGTATTGTGATTAGGTTTACTGTTTTGTTGAATCATCATTGTTATTTTTTAAGCCGTTGGTTCTCCGAGAATGGTGCATGGCGCAAGTTTCGTAATCAATTTTTTTTTTTTTTGGTTCATTCTGCGTACCACTTGAAAAAATGTTGGTACCCCATGAGATTTCACTTTTAGCGACTCATTTCCAAGAGACAGCCATTTTAGTAACGCGTCTCAATTTTGGTAAAAATCATCGTTCGTTGACGTTGGTTTTCGACCAACTTAACCAAATTATTATGTTCAGGTACTCATTCAACGCACAATGTAACGTTCTTTATGTGTGTTTTTCGCTTGCACCGTTCGGATGTTATAGGTAAAAGAAATATATATCTAAAATATTTAGCCATAAGTTCTTCTGAGGTGGCCCATATAACTATTTATATTTCATTCATGTGTCGCTTACTGGACTAACATTATTCTATTGTTATTTTACCGAGTCTAATATTATTAATAAGCGTGGGAATTTAGCTTCTCAGAAATTTTCATTTTTTTTTAGAATTCACATCCAAACCTTCTCTTGCTGTGAATACTCTTTTTAGGCCTAGAACCATGGCTATTTAAATTGTATATTGAAAATTCAAATTAAATGGTATTTTCAGGTCGCATGTTAGCAGATTACTATTATACGCGTTCTGAAATTGAATGAGGGATGAGATGGGGTTAACCGATTAACGCGTTCCCCCCGCACATGGATTCATAACTGCCCTGGGGCTATTGGTGTCTGGAGGGGGAGATTCGTGCCTCGGGCCCAAATATCATATCTGTTTATTTTTCCTAACAACCGTCAAACTATGGGGGGGTCTAGGACGTTTCTATGTCAAACAATCTTCCAACTGTCAAGGGGTCACTTAACGTTCCAGATACACCTATCACAGTTGAGTTTTTAAAATAGATCAAACTATATCAAATTATCAAACGATTTAAATTAATATTACTATTAATATATCAATATTAGTTTATATTGACAACAATGAAATTCCTCAAACGGACACGGTACTTTACGTTGACACTTAACAAACGACTCGAAACTACTTTACTCTCTCTTTCCCAAATCTTCAAAACTAAAACTAAAGCAGAAACTGAATACATATACATACTTACTTAAGCCCATATGGAGGTACTCATCACAAATATGCGGTATCGCTAAAAATACCCACCTACAAAAACTTTATCAAATTTATTGCGACTCATAACACAAGCTCCTTCCTTGTACGTGACTAACAAAACTGCATACTGACCTCCACCTTCAGTTGACCAACGACATACTAATATACTAATATTAGAGACTTGGCCACAGCTGACATACCTCAGAGGAGCAGACTAAAAAGCGTTGGATGAGAGATCTCCTTCCTTAAACAACCAAAGTAATTAGAACAAGTTAGGGAAGAGATACTGCTGAGTACATTCCTTCCCATGCCTGTCGTGTCATTATTTCATGTTTCGGCATCACATTTGCTGGTTGCCAACAATAAGTTGACCTGCTCAAATATATTTTTTTATAGACAAAAAAAAATATTACTGCGATTTAAATTAATATCATATTTTATAAATTCTCTATCGACCCGAAAAATGTTATCTTCGTAAGAAAACTATATTTTTTTTTTTAAATTATAAATAATAATATTCATAATTTGGTATAATGTATTACTTTTTATGTTTCATTGGCGATCATAGCAATATCTTAAGCGTGTATAGTGTTGTTTTTTTGTATATCTATTTTTCGTCAGTCCATCAGGTCGTTTTATTATTGTTATTTTTTGAAAAGCTAAATATAGAACAAAATCGTATCAATATCAAACAAAAATTCAGGCTAATTGCTGCACATTTTTCACTAGTAAAATAATGATTTTTATAATCATAAAATTT